GGTGGGGGACACCCCTCCGCCAGCAGCGGTCACCCCCACGCCCCGCCGGGCTCCCCCGCGGGTGGATGCTCTCCCCCCGGCCCGGCCCGCCCGGCCCCACGGCGCCCGTTCGGATAAAACGAAATCAAACGAAATCAAACGAAATCAGGGCAGGCCGGTACCGCAGCCCCCCCGGCACGGCTGCTCCGATACCCCCCCCAGTGACCGAGCCCGCCGGGAACCGGGGGGGCCCTCCTGTACCCCGGCCCGGTCGTCAGCACCTCCTCCCCTGGGGTTCCCCAGCCCAAACGAGTCCGCAGCGGCGGGGCCACATCCACAGGGGGAACGGTGGGGTCCGGGGACCCCAGACCCTTCCCCGCTCCTGGGACCCCGCTCCCGGGATCCTCTCCCCCAGCATCCCACTTTTTGGGATCCCCTCTCCCACCCCATCTCTGCGATCCCGGCTTCTGGGGTGCCCACTTCAGGGATCCCAGCTCCAGGGGACCCTGTTCCTGGGATCTCTGCCCCAGGATCCCTGCTCCCAGCATCTCTGCTCCAGGCAGTTCCGCTTTCAGCACAGTGGCGCGGTGGTCCCGGGAGAGGCCTGGCCCCGGAAAGCCCCCCAGCCCAGCGCTGCCCCGGTCCCAGCCCCAAGCACCGTGCCAAGCTCCAGCTCTGGGTAATTAAAAAAATTAATTACTGGGGAGGGGGGCAAGTGAAGAGCTCAGACACGAGGCAGAGTGGGGAGTGAAGGAAATAGTGCTAGCACCCACACCACCAGCCCCCCCATGTCCCCACGGGGCAGGGTGGACCCCCCAGAGCAGGGCTTGGGGGAGGGGGGTGTGATGCCTTGGCTGCGTCCCCCAGCACCCCCAGCTCCATCACAGGCAGAGGCTGTGTTATCGGTGCCTCAATTTACCCTCTCCAGGTGTGCACAGGACCCGTGGGAAAGGTGGCATGGCTGCAGCCCCCCCCCCCAGCTCCAGCTGCGTCCCACTGCTGGGGACTCTGGCACAGCCAGTGCCATCCCCTCCATGAAGGCTGGATGCACACAGGTGTCCACAGACCAGTGTCTTCACTGGAAACGTCCACAGCAGAACCCAGACCAACAAGGGACACGGAGCCACAAGCTGTGAAGAGCCACCTGGGCACCAGGATGGCTCTCAAAAGGGAAGGGGAGGTGGAAGAGGGCCAACAGACCTCAGGGCTCGGCTGCTCCAAAGAGCAGTCGCAGGTTATTCTGCACCATGAGATGTTGCTCAGCCTTCTCAGGCTGTGGTCTCTGGTTTGCGTGCAGCCCTGCACATCACTCCCTGCCCTCCGGCTGCTCCCAGCCTGGGGGTCTCGCCTGCCCGGCTGAGGCAGGCACACAGCAAGGGCGAGCAGGGCTGATGGGACGCGTGGGTGACAAGGTGCCGACACTGTCGGCACACTGCGTGCCACCAGGTGCGTGGAGGAGGGTGTGATCAAAGCCCCGGGGACCTGCTACCATGTTTTGATAACCTTGACCTTTCCAGTTTCCCCAGTTCCTGCTCTGCTGGAAACCTCCTTCCCCCCAGACCCCCAGCGTCCACCAGAACACTCATTGTGGGTCCCCCAGGACACCCACCTGGGGCCCTGCAGCCACTGTGTCCCCCCTGGGCCAGTTGCTTCCCAGGAGGGGGGAAATCGGCTCCAAACCATGTTTCATCCCCCAGGCACCCATCACCACCGCACACAGGCAATTCCACTTAATAAGCATTAAATTAACGTAGTTGGGGGCCTTGTCACACCTCGTCTGTGGGGCCCCGGGGTGCTCCTGGGGGCGCGGGTTCCTGAAGTGGCCCCAGCTGAGATGATGATCCCAAAAGGCAAGGGGTGCCCCAAGGGACCCCGATAAACCTCCACTGCTGTCAGCACTGGGGCTCTGGTCTGGGGCTGGGGATGCTCCGGTGGTCTCCGTGGGACAGACACCCCCAGACTTCCGTGGGTTTGAGGGGTGATGATACCCCTGGCAGAGAAGAAGGGAAGGGGGTCCTGGGGGGCTGGGCAGGACACAGCCCACCCTCACAGCCACGGGAGGGCAGAGATCAGCCCTTCCTCCTGGTTCCCACAGCACGTGGGTGTTTGGTGTGGGTTAAGGGGACTGCAGAGGGTCTGTGGGGCTCAGCGAGGCTGGGGCCAGTGACCCCCATCCCCTCCACCCCACGGGTCCAGCCCAGCCCCGGCATGACCACAGCCACGAGGTGTAGCCACGTGTGGGGAAAAGGGCAGCATGTGTGACACAAGGATAAGGGGGGGGGGGGGTGTCCGGTCACGCAGGCACCCCTGCCCATGTCCATCACTGCTGACTTGGGCCCAAATGGCAGCCCCGTGTGGTGTCCCACTGTAGCCACCAAACCTTGCCACCGCCAGCCCGCAGCTAGCGGCGACCTCCAGATAATTGATGACGATGAAGAAGCAGGATGGAATTAGCAGATGTTACAGAGAGCACTAAACCTCAGGGAGGGAGGATGTGAGAAGCATCAGCCCTGGGATGGAGGAGAGGTGGCCCTGGCTGGGGACACCCTCAGGGCAGGCTGGGGAGGATGTCCACTCGGAGTTGGGAGATTTGGCTGCCAACGGTTTGGGTGTAGGGGTAAACCCTGGGAAATGCAGAGGCACAAGAAGGTGGGCAGCATGGTGTTGCCCCACATCTCTTGTTGCGGCATAGCGGTGGCACCCCCTCATTCCGTGCCACCGGGACCAACCCACCCGGCTGGCGTTGTTCAGAGCCGATCCCGCTGGCAGGCATTGGGGTCCAGGGCAGGGGTGATGGCCACATCTGCACAGGGACATCACGCCACTGCTCACACAGAGCGGGTGGGCTCGTTTCCCGACCAAACGGGGACTTTGAGCCCGGCAGGCCAGCAATAATCATCTCAAGAGCCATCAGCATCGCTGACGTGCTGAGGCCGGCCGGGCTCACGCTTGTGGACAGCTCTGCCAGCACAAAGCGAGGGCAGTGAGCCCAGCCCTGTGCATGCCCCGAGATCACCCTCCCCGCCAGCGCCGGGTGCATTTCAGCCGTCCCCAGGATTACTGCAAACAGCAAATCAAAGCACGCACTAATTTATCCAAGAAGAAATGCCTAGCACATTTCTGCAAGGTCCTCTGCCCGATGGCAAATCCGTGGCCTCCAGTTCACCTTCTGACCTGCCCTTATTCCCTTGCTCTGCCTTTAAACCATGTGACAGGAGGATTTGGCTTAACGTGTGTCGCTCCAGAAGGAAAGGAGGAGAAGGAGCTCAGAGGGCCCGGCGGTAATCGCTGGCTCCCCACCCGCGGCGCAGGGGCATTCCTGCAGCTGTGGGGCTGGATTAAGGTGGACGTGCACTCTGGTCCTCTCCTAAGCCCTGCTGCTTGCTGCTCCCCACATGTCCGAATCCCTTCGTGTGGGTCAGGGCAGGTGGTTTGCAGAGATTTAGCATTACAGGAGCAATCCCTTGGCTCTCCCTTGGTGCTGCCTGGTGCTCGTCCCTTGCTCCAGGTTGGGTGTACATCCTCAAACTGGTGGGACCTTCCCCACACCCTCTCCTCTGCACCCACAGCACCAGGCTGCACCAGTTGCGCTGCTGGGAAGAGCCGGCATCTGGCGCAGCCGGACGGATGGCGGCAGCTCACGGGGCCCGTGCGTGCCAGCCAGCAACATCTGCTTGGCCCTCCCAGCAAGCGGCTGGGCACGGCGGGCAGGAGGGGCCAGCTGGAGCTGCCCGGCCACCCCAGGGCGTTTGGGCAAGAATTAATTAACTTCAGGCTGAGGAGATGCGGGAGGGAGGGAATAGATGCGCACGGGAACACTTTGCGAAGCCCGGGGGCTCGGTCAGGAGGCGGCGAGCAGCGTGGGCGCAGGTGGTGGTGGAGGAGGTGGGTTCGGCAGCGGTGGGGTCGGAGGGCTCTGCCACGGAGGTACCTTGAAAAGGTGATTTCCAGCCGGAGGGATGGACCTGCCCAGGTCATCCCAGCTCCATCCGAACTCGTCTGTCTCAGCAAGGAGGTAGCAGCTGCTGCGATGGGCTGGGGAGGGGGATGCCTGCCTGCCACCCTGCCCACCACCCGTGGGCTCAGCGCTGCTCCCATCCCTTCCCATCCCATCCCCGTCCCCAGAGCACACACAGACACAAGCTGAGTCCGTAGGAGCAAAGCCAGCCCCTCACTTGGAGAGCACAGGGCCTTGCAGGGTGCTCAGGGGAGTGTACCCGGGCGTCACTCTGTGGGGCTACCCCAATGTCCCTGGAAACTGGTGTGTCCATCTCCCAGTGCAGGAAAGGGGGACCGTCCTGGCTGGCTGGCCCTGCTTATGCAAGGGAAGAGGCTGCACCACCGGTGAGCCACGGCACTGGGAGCCACAGCACGGGGAGTATGCACCCGAGGAGGATGAAGGACTGTGCGATCCTGAGAGCTGAGCGAGAGGGACATTAGCTAAGAAATAAGGCTGGTAGCTCAGTACGTTTGAGCACGGGGAGCTGGAAGGGGGGGGAATGGCTGGCCGGCGTGGGTGCTGGCTGTCTCTCCCACAGCCCACGGGAATGGCAGCACGCTGCTTCGGTGCTTGAACCGGAGCAGCAGAACAGGGGGATAAGGGGCGATTAAGCACCCATGTGAGTGGAGCATCGCCCCAGATCCGTGCCCGGGAAGCTCCAGCTCCATGCTCCGAAGCACTGTCCAGCTGCACACCCGTGGCTGAGCCCCTGTCCGGCGGCGAGGTGGCCGCAGAGTGACATCTAACGGCAGCGGGCCAGGAGGGGACACGGCCCAGCAGCCACCTTCCTCGCTGGGGGATGCCACTTCTGCAAGCGAAGCCCTCCCGCGGCCCCCAGCCCCAGCTCCCCTCCAGCAGCACGGAGCTGACAGGACAGGGCTCCTCCTCATCCCCTGCCTCTTCCCGGGCACCGAGGGGACACGTTTGGCCTGGGGACACCTCTGCCCTCCTGTTCAACGGGCTGACAAGGCAGATGGCAGGAAAATGGGGTGCTGTGACCCTGGGCTGTCTCCGAGCATCACATCCCCGATCTCCCACCTGCCCCGCAAGCCCGTCTGTAGACCAAGACGTTGCTCCACAGCGGCCGCAGACCGGCTTGGGGGGATAATGTGGAGGAGAGACCGGGGAAGGAATCACACGCCAGCACGGGGGGAGTCCCTGGGTGAACCAGCCCTGCCCAGCCCCACACCTGCTCGGTTCCTCCCAGCTCTCCACCCTTCCAAAAGCAGGGCAATAAACCCCTTCTCCCAGCTCATCCCAACAGACGCTGGCTGTGCGTTGCTCCAGATTTTATTTCCAGACAGAGGAATAGCATACGGGGAGGCCCTGGCACTCGGGGGCTGCGTAGCACTGCAGCGGGCAGGACCCTGGGACGGTGGCTTTGGTGGGGGGGACAGGAGGATGGTGGCGATGGAGAGGCTGCCCCCAGGCTTGCACCGTCACCAGGAGATTTATTTATTTTTTTTTCTCCTGGGGTTTCACTGCTGGAGAGCAGCTCTGAGCCGTCACAGCTTGCCGGTGCCTGGCACATGCGGCGCACCACGCGCTGTGGCAAGCACAAACCGTGCCCGGCGTGAGAACAACATCCACGGCGGGGAGGGATGAGGGGCACGGCGGGACAGGAGAGGGGCAGAGGGGGCTGGGAGGCAATGGAGACGGGACCGCGTTATCCCCAGGGTGGTGGCTGCCTGGATTCAGCCAGGCCAGAGCTGTGCGCTTCCAGCACGACCTGCTACAGTTGCTCCTGGGCCAAAGAGCCACCGGCTTAGGAAGCTCCATCCATCTGGAAAAGGTTGGGGCTGGTTGGGGAAACCCCGCCCACGGTGGAGCCCGCAGGGCCAAGGGAGCACCCAGACCATCGCCCAGAGGGGGTCAGCACCCGTGTGCGCTGTGAAGCCCGTCTGGGATGAGCTTGCAAGGGGTAATTCTGGTCCTCATGAGGCTTTGCCCCTCCTGCCCTTTCCCCGGTGCCAGCAATGCCAGCCGAGGCTGCGGTGGCAGCACGTAGCAGCCTGGCTGGGCCAGATCCTGGATGGTGTGTGAGTCCGGACCAGCATCCCCCAGCCCCATGCTGGGGCAGCACTGGGATGCTCTCCAGCACAGTGCACCCCACGGACCCCCCCCCCCCCCGCGGGGATCCCCTGGCAGCTCAGCGTGGGGGGGGGTCCTCAAAGCTGGCCCCACTGAGGTCCCTACCTGCGCCTGTTCCTGTTTGCTCCTCAGCTCAAAAGTGTCCTCGGTACCGGACCAGCCCCAAAACATCCTCATCCTGGAAGGGAGGAGAGGGACCTGCCACCCCGGCTCCCAGCCATGGGCTGGCTCAGCCCGGGGTCCCTGTAACCCCCCATTCCCATCCCAGCCAGGCACATTACCTGGGCCACAGCTTCACAGCCAGGAGGGCCAGGGCAGCCACGCAGATCACGGCTATGAGCAGTCCGGCCAGCACAGTGAAGGCCAGGAGGTGGGTGAGAGCTGTGGGCAGAGGGGACACAGGGCAGATCGGGGCTGCTGGCTCGGCAAGACCGGAGGGGGCTCAGAGAGCCCTGATGGGGGGGGGGGTTGGCCTCCCCCAGCCCTTTTCCCCATGGCTGTAGCTGCAGTACGGCCCTGGTGTGGGGTCAGTGTACGTGGGACCCCCCCCAGGCCGTGGGGTGCCCTGTGAGGGGTGAAGGGGACCCTGGGGATGCAGCTGTGACAGCCGGCTGCAGGCGAGGGACACACTTCAGCACCAGTGCCATGTCCCCAGGGTTGGGGACAGCCAGTTGGTGGGTTGAGGACACACCACAGGGGGGTCACAGGGTGGCACAGCACCAGGTTCGACCCCGCGGGGACTCTTGCTGCTCCTGGCTGCCCCTGCCCATGTCACCGTCCCCTGCACTAAGGGGTCAGGCAGGCTGGCACGTTTCTGTGTGTCACCCCATGCTGGATGGTGTCCTGTCCTCTGCCAGTGCCTGGAGACAGGCAGGGAGCTGGAAGGGCACAGGGGAGTCACCCGGCACAGCAACAAGCATCATCATCCTGTTCTGCCATTTGTTGAAGCCAAGCCAGTTTCTCCTCATTTTTTTGATCATTCTGCAGCATCCAACTCAATTTTCTGTGTCCATGGGCTTTTTTAGCCCTTTCATAAAAAGCAAGCTGGGTTGCTCTGGGAGAAAAACTCCTTGAAAGGAAATACCCAGTTCTTGCAATCAAACCCTCCCTCTTTTCCCATCCACCTAAAGATTTGTGCCCGATTCAACCCACTTCTGCCAGTCATCCCCACCGCTCTGAAATCATCTTTCTGGCACAATTCCCCGTTCCCCACCAAGCCCCACCACCCCCGGCACAGCACCCTGGGGGGGCAGCCCCACTCACTGTGCACGTTGAAGTAGGCACCGGCCGTGGCGTTGCCCATGGGGTTGCCGGCCATGCAGGTGTACTCCCCCGAGTCCTCCGGCCCCACGGCCCCGAGATCCACCCGGAGGGTGTTGTGGGAGGGGGACGCGTGGACCCCTGGCGCGGTGGCTGGGGCCAGGCTGGAGGCCAGGAGCCGGCCGCGGCGGTACAGGGTGATGGTGGAGGCCGGGTGGCTGTCGGCCGTGCACAGCACGATGCCCACTTGCCCGTTGCGGTTCTCCAGGAAGGTGCTGACAGAGACGTCCCGGGGGGGGTCTGCGCGGGGGAGACAGGGCTGGCGGTGGGCCATGGCGTGGGACCCCCTCCCACGCTGGTCCAGACGCTCACCAAGGGCTGCTTAACGCATCCCTCCTCTGGGCTGGATCAGCTCCAGCCCACCCAGCCCGAGGTTGGCCATTTCACACCCTTCCCCAGCCCTTCGCTTCCCTCTGCCCCAGCCGGAGAGGCCCTCCCCGGCTCAGAGCATCAGTAGCTGCTGCTAGACAAAACCCCGACGTCCTCTTCCCCAGGTCTGAAGGGAGAGGAGCAGGGCAGGGAGAGGAGGAAGAAGAGGAGGAAGGCCCCCTCGCCGCAGCAGGATGGCGCGGGTGGGATGCGTGTGATGCTGGGCTGGGTGCACCCAGCATTTCAGGGGCTCTGCGCCCCATCCTGCCCGGTGGCCTGTCACCGTGGGGTCAGGGAACACTCACAGAGCACGCTGAGGCTGAGTGGGGCCGAGGTGGCACTGCCCCGTGTCCCGCTCGCCCGGCAGCGGTAGGAGCCGGTGTCAGTGCTGGAGACGTGGGTGAGGATGAGGGAACCGGCCGGTCCCTCCCGCAGCCACCGGCTGTTCTTGTACCAGGTGTAGTTGGCCTCTTCGCCCACCCAAGGGACGCCCGAGCAGGTCATGGTGGCTGTGGTGCCTTCGGGGACTTCTGGCGAGGGCTCAACCGTGACCGTGACGCCTGAGGAAGAGGAGGGAGGCTGGGAAGTCGGGGGGAGCCCAGGACTTGGGTATTCACAGGACAACACCAATGCAACCCCCCCTCCGAAAGGCTTCTGAGAGCCACAGTCCCACAGGAGGACCCACCGGGACCCCGATACGGTGCTCGCCATGGCTCGGGGCCCCCCCTCACCTCCCACGTCCAGGTGCAGGGACGAGGATGCGGTGCCGTAGCTGTTGTTGGCCGAGCAGATGTAAAGCCCCGTGTCCCGCAGCTCCAGCCCCCCCATCTCCACCCGCAGGGAGTTGGGGGCCACCTGGACAGCGAAGCGCGGCTCGGCCGGGCCCCACGTGGAGACCAGGGGTGCGAGGCCGGGACCCCGGCGCAGGGCGATGCCGGAGGGTGGGAAGCTGTCCACGGTGCAGAGCAGGACGGCCTGCCGCCCCCCCCGGGGCTCCACCAAGGAGATGAAGGATGGCTCCTGGGGTGCATCTGCAAGGACAGGGACAGTGGGGGGGGTGTCCTAGCTCCCCCCCCCAGCTCTGGTGGCAGGGGACCAGCCACCAGTGGGGTTTGGGGGGTGACAGGTTTGCTGCTGGCTGAAGGGGGGGGGGAGAAGGGGCGCGACGCGAGGCCAGGGAGCGCTTGGGAACCCCCCTCCCCACCCCGGTCCAGGGGGCCGCGGACTGTCGCCGGCCTGTCGCGGGATGTCACCAGGTGGCGACATAGACCGTCCTCCCAACCGCGCCGCGGCGGCGGCGACAGCGACATCCCCGCCGGGCTGCCCTGGGTCCCCTTTGC